TTTTTTTTTTTTTGTTTTTTTGCTGTTTCCATGTCTTTGTATAGTGCATGTAATAGCTTGAGTATACTTATAAATTAATAACATCTTTTAAAGGCACTGCCTTATGTTCTTTGTAATCACAGAAAAATAAAAATATCCTTTGCAAGTTTAATAAATGTATTCATTTTGAGATTGAAGGATTTAATCTTATTTTAGAAATGTCATTACATTCTGAAGCAAAGATTTATGAAATGTTCAGACTTCATTACCTCACACTTTAAAAATTTTGGACTTGACATTTAGGTATTGATAATACAAAACTTGTAAACTTGTAGAATGAAGCTTATTTCATTTTTTAATTTTACTGCTGACCCCTAGGTTATCTTGTTTTTGGTGGCCTACTTCCTTATCTCATCCTCTCTTTTTAAATCTGTTGCTTGCTTTTTCCAGCAAATTCAACATCCAACAGCTTCCTTGATAGCAAAAGTAGCAACAGCTCAGGATGATGTCACAGGAGATGGTACTACTTCAAATGTTCTAATTATTGGAGAGTTATTAAAACAAGCTGATCTGTACATTTCTGAGGTATTAGAATTTCACAGAATTCATATGTTCTTTTTGAATGGCAGGTTGTTTTTTTAACTAATAAAATGGTTGAGTTTTAGACAGTTAATTATTTATTTATTTATTTATTTATTTATTTATAGATGGAGTCTAGCTCTGTCGCCCAGGCTAGAGTGAAGTGGCAGGATCTCAGCTCATTGTAACCTCCGCCTTACAGGTTCAAGTGATTCCCCTGCTTCAGCCTCCCAAATAGCTGGGATTAAAGACATGTGCCACCATGCCCAGCTAATTTTTATATTTTTATTAGAGATGGGGTTTCACCATGGTGGCCAGGCTGGTCTCGAGCTCCTGACCTCAGGTGATCCACCTGCCTTGATCGTCCAGAGTGCTGGGATTACAGCTGTGAGCCACTGTGCCTGGCCTAGACAGTTAATTTTAATTAACATATTCTTGGCCAATGATAAATGGAAATAATAATGAACTTTTTTGGCCAAAATAATGCCTTTTATTGGAATTATATACCTCTTTTAAAAATGAAATATTTAAAATACATAAAAAAGTAAAAAATCACCCATGTATTCATGGGTAATTAAGAAAAAAATGCCATAAAGTTGAAACCAAATTATTTACCTTTATAAAACAACTGGAGAAAAATTATTGAAGGTTTTCCTTTTTGTGAATTTACCTCCCTTTCTAGTTTCATTTTTCTTTATTAAATCATCTACTTCAGCCAGATGCCTCCATTCACCTCTGAAAACATCATGTACATTTCTACTTCTGTGCCTTTATTCAATCTGTATTCTTTCCTTGGCATTATTTTATCACTTTTCTCTAATGAAATATCTGAAGTTTTTCTCTCTCTCAGGGACCATTTCAGCAAAGTATAACCTGGTCAAAATGATTCTTTGTGTTTGTTTAGTATTAGGAATTTTCTGTTAATTCAGTACTTGCAACTTAAGATGCTTTTGGCTGTAAGCAACTTGACTAAAACTCAAACAATAAGGAAATGATTATCTCCCATAATAGATAATTGAGAGATAAGACAGACCGTCAGGTTGTGTGATAACAAAATTCAGTCATTGAGTACACAGGTCCTTTGTCTCTTAACTCTTCCACTCACAGCACTCTTTCATCCTTAGATTATTTCTGTCTTGAAAGTAAGACTGGCTGCTTGTAATCCCAGCACTTTGGGAGGCTGAGGCAGGAGGATCACTTTAGCCTAGGAATTTGAGACCAGCCTGGGAAACATAGTGAGACCCTGTTTTTAGAAATAATAAAAAAAAAAAAAATTAGGCTTGGTGGTATGCCATGTGTGGTGCTAGCTACTCAGGAGGCTGAGGCAGGAGGATCACTTTAGCCTAGGAATTTGAGACCAGCCTGGGAAACATAGTGAGACCCTGTTTTTAGAAATAATAAAAAAAAAAAAAATTAGGCTTGGTGGTATGCCATGTGTGGTGCTAGCTACTCAGGAGGCTGAGGCAGGAGGATCACCTGAACCCAGGAGGTGGAGGCTGCAGTAAACCATGATTGCACCACTGTACTTCAGCCTGGGTGACTAGGTGACAGAGTGAGACCCAGTCTCAGAGAGACAGAGAGAGAGAGAGGGAGGGAGGGAGGAAAGAAGGGGAGGGGAGGGAAGGAAGACTGTCAGAGGAAATTAGGCAGAGTGCAAGAGAAAGCCATTCATAAGTCCTTTGTTTAGTAAGATTGGGCCAACTTTAGTATTATGTCCATCCCAAGCCAATAACAATTTTTAGGGAATTGACTTAGACTAATCAAGATCCACTCCTTCAGCTGGTGATAAGATCAGCTTTCTCCAAAGCACAGGTGGGAGAGGGATACCCAAACCGAATTAGAGTGGGGTTAGGAAGAAAGGAGTCTGGCAAGGATGAGTTGCTAACAGACATTATGAAACCCTGTGGCCATACAGTGATAGGGCTGGACACAGTATATGATAGAATCACTGAGGCTGGAGGGACATCCTAAACCAGCATGAAGTAGGAAGAACTCTCTGGAGGAAGGAAGGCCTGGGCTAAATCTTCAGGATGAGGAGGAATGAACCAGACAAAAGAGCAAAGGGTGAGGAGAATGGCTTTCCAGGCAGAAGGAACAAAATAAGCAAAGCCACAGAGAAGACAAGCAACATGGTGTTGTATGAAGCTACAAGCATTTTGGTGTTGCTGGAATTTCAAGTGATGTGAACAGTAGTGAAGAGGCTAGAGAGGGAAGTGGGAGCCAGATCACAGAGGGCGTGTAGTTTGCTAACCAAGAAGCTTACACTTCATCTTGTGGTATTACAGACCAAACATAGCAACATACTAATGACTAATATGGTCAGATTGGCATTTTTCTTTTTTTCTTTTTGCGATGGAGTCTTACTGTCCATCTCACAGGCTGGAGTGCAGTGGCACAATCTCGGCTCACTCCACCTCCTGGGTTCAAGCAATTCTCCTGCCTCAGCCTCCTGAGTAGCTGAGATTACAGGCGTGTCACCATGTCTGGCTAATTTTTTATTTTATTTTATTTTTTTAGTAGAGACAGGGTTTCACTGTGCTGGCCAGGCTGGTCTCGAACTCCTGACCTCATGGTCCACTCGCCTCAGCCTCCCAAAGTGCTGGGATTACAGGTGTGAGCCACCACGCCTGGCCCAGATTGGCATGTTAAATATTTGGGGGATGGTTTTAAGGGAGTCTAGATGAGAGGTTTTCATAATAGTCTGGATGGCAGATTGTGAGGCCCTAGCTTGAAGACATTTTTGAAAATGGTTAATAACACAGGCTCTAGAGTCAGGTCTCATGGGTTTAAACCCTGGTTTCACTCCTTATTATCTTGGTGATCTAAAGCAAATTACATTATCCTTTAACCCTTGGTCTCCTCATCTGTGAAATAGGAAAAATAATATCCACTTCATAGTGTGGCTAGAGGATTAAATGTCCAGCACAGATATTCAGTGCCAACTTTTAAAGATTATTGTAGTAAAGAAAAGAAGTAAGGGAATGAATTAAACCAAGTGCTAGCTTTCACAAAGTTTGTGTATTATTTTATGGAACAAAAAATACTATTATCAAATTTTGTCATAATTTTAGACCTATAGAAAAGTTGCAAGCATACTACAAAGAATTCCTGTTTACTTTTTACCCAGATTCTTCAAGTATTTTTCTCTCATTCCCTGCCTGCCCTGTTCTCTTCCTTAATATCAGTGTACATATTCTTTTCTAAACTGTATGTTGCAGACGTGATCTAAATATTTCAGTGTGCATTTATTAAAACTAGCGAATTATATAATTGCAGTATAGTTATAAAAACCAGGAAATTCATAATAACATCAACACATTGATACATGACTATTATCTAATTTGCATTCTATTCAAATTTCACCACTTGTACTAATGGTGTTCTTTATAGAAAAAAAAGATCTAAGTTCATGCATTGCATTCAGTTGTCATGTTCCTTTAGTATCTTTTAAGCTAGACTAGTTCCTGAGCTACCTTTTATGCTTCATGATATTGCTACTTTTAGGAGTACCAGCCAGTTATTTTGTAGAAAGTCCCTCAATTTGGATGTGCCTGTTTTCTCAAGTAAACTCAGGTTATAGATTGTGGGCAGGAGTACCACAGAAGTGTTGTGTTCTACTGAATGCATCATATCAGGAGGCATGTGATGCCTGTCTGTCTCATTATTGTGATGTTAACTTTGATCACTTGGTGAAGTGGTAGATACCACAGTGTTCTGTCTGCCACTTTTTCCCAATGCAATGATGGTTCTTTTCCTCTGCATTGAAAAGTATCATTTTTTGTGTACCCATTCAGAAGGGCACCACATAACAACAATGCAGTCAGAATTTCTGGAAATGAAAAGGACTTTTGTAATTTTTTGTACTAGACTTGCAGCTTTACTGTACATTTGAGATCATTTCAAGTATGAAGCACTAAAATGACTTACAAATTACATACACTTATATTTCATGGCATTAATGGGAGTTACTTTTTTGGACATAATATATTAATCAGACAGGATGGTTACTTTTACATTGGATGACTTATTTTATAATTTATAATTTTATGTTGATGTAACAGGGCCTGCACCCTAGAATAATAGCCGAAGGATTTGAAACTGCAAAGATAAAAGCACTTGAAGTTTTGGAGGAAGTTAAAGTGACAAAGGAGATGAAAAGAAAAATCCTCTTAGATGTAGCTAGAACATCATTACGAACTAAAGTTCATGCTAAACTGGCTGATGTGTTAACAGAGGTATGTTATTAAACTTTTGCATTCAGGACAAGTATAGCCTAACGCATGGTGATATTTTTCTTTTTTCTGTAAGATAATCAAGTATTGCATGTGGTTTTTTAGACATAAAATATGGAAGGCAGACAGTTATTGTATAGGCTTACCTATAGACTAGATTTGAGTGGTCAGAACAGTATTTGTAATTTTCAGCAGTGTCATACTAGGCCTTTTTAAAAACGTGACTTGAAAGTTGGGAAAGGTTTGGCTGGTCTTTTTAAAGCTAGAGGTCCATGTTTTACTATGTGAGGTAACACATGAGATAGTTGTTTTAGCAGCGTACCTTGTAGATAAGGTTACCCATATAATGAAATGGGAGTGATAGGATATATTAATATATTAATATTCACATCTTGGAAATGTATGTTTGTTTTGTTTATTTCTTTTATTTATTTGTTTATTTTTGAGACAGAGTTTCACTCTGTCACCCAGGCTGGAGGGCAGTGGTGCAATCTCGGCTCATTGTAACCTCTGTCTCCCGGGTTCAAGCAGTTCTCCTTACCTCAGCCTCCCGAGTAGCTGGAATTACAGGCACGTACCACCACGCCTGGCTAATTTCTGTATTTTTAGTAGAGATGGAATGTCAATATGTTAACCAAACTTGTCTCAAACTCCTGACCTCAAAGGATCCAATTGCTTTGGCCTCCCAAAGTGCTGAGATTACAGGCGTGAGCCACCACATCCTGCCAGTGTTTTGTTTATTTCTAAAGGTAGAATATGTGTTATATAGGCCGGGTACGGTGGCTCACACTTGTAATCCCAGCTCTTTGGGAGGCCAAGGTGGGCAGATCACCTGAGGTCAGGAGTTTGAGACCAGCCTGGCCAACCTGATGAAATCCTGTCTCTTCTAAAAATACAAAAATTAGCTGGGCATGGTGGCGGGCACCTGTAATCCCAGCTACTTGGGAGGCTAAGGCAGGAGAATTGCTTCAGGACTGGGAAGTTGTAGTGAGCTGAGGTCATGCCACTGGGCATGGTGACGGGCACCTGTAATCCCAGCTACTTGGGAGGCTAAGGCAGGAGAATTGCTTCAGGACTGGGAAGTTGTAGTGAGCTGAGGTCATGCCACTGGGCATGGTGGCGGGCACCTGTAATCCCAGCTACTTGGGAGGCTAAGGCAGGAGAATTGCTTCAGGACTGGGAAGTTGTAGTGAGCTGAGGTCATGCCACTGCACTCCAGTCTGGTGACAGAGTGAAACTTTGTCTCAAGAAAAAAATGTATTTTATACAAAGATAAGATTGGCTGGATATTTTGGAAGGCTTTTGACAGGTGGCAATGATTTGGTATCATTATTGTTTCTCAGCTTTGTAGTTTCTGAAACTTGAATATATTTGTTTCCCAGGAATGATAAATTCAGAGGAAACAAACTCACAAGACATTGACATGCAAAGCAGAATACTATCTTAATAATTTACTTTGAGAACTACAAGTGCCAAATGTACCGGAATACCTGAGTTGTTTCTGGTCAATTCTTACCATTAAAAAAAACCAACAGATTAAGATCGGGCAATTTCTTGATGAGCAGAGTCAGAAGAAAGGCTCTGCTGTGTTTTCTGCTGTTAGGGTACTCAAATGGCCCAGAATCTTCATGCTACTAGGGCACCCATTCTGTTTTGGAGTTGCAGAAACACTAATATTCTCACGTCCAATGGCCTTTTTAAATTCATTATTTGGCTTTAAAATCAAATATGTCACCTCAGGTAAATCTTTCTAAGATAGTATATTTCTTCTTTATGTATATTTTAGGGTACTTATAACTTAGCTCTTAATTTCTGCAGTAATTTATCATTTTTATATCATTTTCTGAGCTAAGCAATAAGATGTGATGTGCTATGCTTCTTAAATTGTATATCCCTGGTCATATGTGACAGAATAAATGAGACATATCTTTCTGGAGTGTCAATTTTACTTTACAATTTTTGGGGAAAACATTATTTTCATGTTGAGCTAAACACATTATGGGGTGACATGAAAGCTTTTCATGATGAAACATGAGACTTTAAAATTTTCTGCTATTATAGGCAGCATACTGGAGCTATTACCTTAGATTACATTTCCTTCTTTTCCATTAAGGTGTCCTTTGGTGGAAAAGTTTGGATAATCTTCGTATGATAGAAAGAGTTAACTTGGCAGTTAAGGAGCCCTGAATTCTAGTCCTGGCCCTGTTAATAGCTGTTAGATCATATTTTAAAACTGTAACTTCTTAAGGTCTTATCTCAATTGCCTTACCTGTGAAATAAAAGGTTTGGACCTGATGATCTCCGAAGTTTCTCTAGACTCTAAAGTGCCTGTTGGCGTTGGTTATTATTCGTGTCCGCAATAAAGTGGCACATATTGGTCTTGCCCTGTGTTTTGAATCCTGAAGGCTTTTATGTCCTTAGCCTGGTGATAGATTGTTTGGGCCATTGGTTTATTTTAGTAGTCCAAATAACTTACTGTTCTCTTTCACTTCTCTTTCAGGCTGTGGTGGATTCTGTTTTGGCTGTTAGAAGACCAGGTTACCCTATTGATCTCTTCATGGTAGAAATCGTGGAGATGAAGCATAAATTAGAAACAGATACGAAGTAAATTACATAAACCTTGACAACATATAGGTTCTAGAATATTTGTTTTTTATTCTTTTATTAAATTCATTACTTACTTTTATTCAACGTAAATATATTCATTCAACATGTGTTAAGTCACTGTTCTAGGTGATAGGAATTAAGAGTAAATGGAACAGAATTTCTTTCCCTCAGAAGCTTATGTTTCTAATTGAAATGGGAAAAAAAATCATGTGTGTGATTTTATAGTGGACAGGGAAGGCCACTCTGATAAGAACCTAGAGAGCTAAGAGATGTCTGAAGAAACAAGGGAGCTAGCCACATATGCACATCTGGAACAGGAGGGTTCTAAGCAGAAGGAATGACCCCTGAAAAGGTCCTGAGGCAGAAGTGTGACTGGGGTATTACAGTGTGCCTGGAGCACAGACGAGGAGATGAGGGAAGAGGGGCCAGATTATGGAGTACCTTGTTGGTTTTGGATTTACTCTTTTAAAACTTTCTATTAGCCGGGCGCGGTGGCTCACGCCTGTAATCCCAGTACTTTGGGAGGCTGAGGCGGGTGGATCACGAGGTCAAGAGATCAAGACCATCCTGGTCAACATGGTGAAACCCCGTCTCTACTAAAACTACAAAAAATTAGCTGGGCATGGTGGTGCGTGCCTGTAATCCCAGCTACTCAGGAGGCTGAGGCAGGAGAATTGCCTGAACCCAGGAGGCGGAGGTTGCGGTGACCGAGATTGCGCCATTGCACTCCAGCCTGGGTAACAAGAGCGAAACTCCGTCTCAAAAAAAAAAAAAAAACTTTCTATTATACAAAATTGTAAACATATGTAGAGAGAACAGAATAGGGAACTTCCACATACCTGTTAGCTATCTTTATCAATTTCCAATATATAAACCAATCTTTTCAACCATACCCCTCCTTCTTTCCCCCTCCCACCTTGGATTATTTTGAAGCACATCCAGACATCATATACCACCTGTAAATATCATATAATCCATTAAACACAAACCCCCTGCTTTTACCTAATATATCCACAAAACATTATCACACCTTAAAAATTGATAACTCATTAATACCATCACATAGTCTAATTGTTGTCTCAGATTTTTTTCAATTTTGTTTGGATTAACATCTACACACAGTCTGTATACTGCACTTAAGTGATAACTCTTTTAAGTCTCTGTTAATTTGTAGGTTCTTTCTTCCTCTCATTGTTTTTCACCTTGATAATTATTTTGGAGAAGTCTGATGATTTGTCTTGAAGAGTTTTTATGGGAAGATTTTTGATTATTCATGCGATTTTCTTAATGGCTATAGGACTAGTTAGGTTTTCTACTTATTTTGTGAATCATTTTGGTAAGTAATGTTTATCCATTTTGTTTAACTCTGAAATTTTTGGTATAAAATGTTGATAAATATCCTTTTGGGCATACATTTTTATGAGGATCCTATTTGCAGGATCTATAGTGGTATCACTATTTTTTTTCTGGTGTTTTTTATGCCCTCCTTTCCTTTTTTGGTAATTTGTTCCCAGAGGTTTGTTTGTTTTTGTTTCATCGTGTCTTTCTCTTTATTATTTAATTTACTTTTTTTGGAATTTTGTGGAGACTTCTTTGCTGCTTCTGTTGTATTACAGTAGCTACTTAGGTTATTAATTTTCAATCTCCTGCTTTTGTAATACAGTACTTAAGATCTTAACTTTTTCTCAAAGTACTAGTTAGCTGCATCCTTCAAGTTTTGCTACACAATTTCATAATTTTTCTTCAGTTTAAAATATTTTCTGATTTCTACTAGAAGTGTGTTTCTTCAAAATACATAGGAAAATTTTAGTTATCACCGATACCTAGCTTAATTACATTATGGTCAGAGAATATGTTCTATGAGATTTTGCTCCTTTGAAATGTATTGATACTTGCTTTCTGGCTCAGTGCATAGTCAATTTTTGTTATGCTAATGTTTCATGTACTTGAAAAAAATGTATGCTGCAGTTAGTAGGTACAATTTTATATATATGTCCATTAAGATCAAGGTATCCTGTTAACCCTGTTGTTTAGAACTTCTATATCCTTATTGATGTTTTAACTGCTTATTCTGTCAATTACTGAGAGAAATGTATTAATATCTTTCAATATTATTGTGTACCTGTTTATATTTTACTTTAGTTTTGAGAGTTTTGCTTTATACATCTTGAGACAATCTTATTAGATGCATATGGTTTTCTTTTTTTAAATTGTATTTGGGCTCTGGGGTACATGTGCAAATCCTGCATCCTGCAGGATTGTTGTATAGGTACGTACATGCCATGGTGGTTTGCTGTCTCCATCCCCTGCCCCACCCCCCCCCCCCCCCCCCCCCCCCCCCCCCCCCCCCCCCCCCCCCCCCCCCCCCTCCCCCCCCCCCCCGCCCCACCCCAGTCTCCTATATCAGGCGTTTCTCCTGGTGTTATCCCTCCCCATCCTTCCCCGCCCCCACCGCTGTCTCCCCTCCACCCCACTGCCTAGCCCTGTGAGTGTTTTTCCCATCCCCATGCCCAAGTGTTCTCATTGTTTATCATCCGCCTATGAGTGAAAACATGCAGTGTTCGGTTTTCTGTTCTTGTGTCAGTTTGCTAAGAATGATGGTTTCTTGGTTCATCCATGTCTCTACAAAGGACACGAACTCATTGTTTTTTATGGCTGCATAGTATTCCATGGTGTATATGTGCCACATTTTTTTTTGTCTAGTCTGTCATCAATGGGCATTTGGATTGGTTCCAGGTCTTTGCTATTGTAAACAGCACTGCAATGAACATATGTGTGCATGTGTCTTTATGACAGAACAATTTATAATCCTTTGGGTATATACCCAGTAATGGGATTGCTGGGTCAAATGGAATTTCTATTTCTAGATCCTTGAGGAATCGCCACACTGTCTTCCACAATGGTTGAACTAATTTACACTCCCACTGACAGTGTAAAAGTGTTCCTTTTTCTCCACATCCTCTCCAGCATCTGTTGTCTCCAGGTTTTTTCATGATCGCCATTCTAACTGGTGTGAGATGGTATCTCAATGCGGTTTTGATTTGCATTTCTCTAATGACCAGTGATGATGAACATTTTTTCATATGTTTGTTGACCACATATTTTCTTCTTTTGAAAAGTGGCTGTTCATATTCCTTGCCCACTTTTAAATGGGTTTGTTTGTTTTTTTCTTGTAAATCTGCTTTAGTTCTTTGTAGATTCTGGATATTAGCCCTTTGTCTGGTGGGTAGATTGTGAAAATTTTTTCCCATTCTGTTGCTTGCCGGTTTACTCTAATGATTGTTTCTTTTGCTGTGCAGAAGCTCTTAAGTTTAATTAGGTCCCATTTGTCTATTTTGGCTTTTGTTGCCATTGCTTTTGGTGTTTTAGTCATGAAGTCCTTGCCTGTGCCTATGTCCTGAATGGTTTTGCCTAGGTTTTCTTCTAGGGTTTAATGGTGTTAGTTCTTATGTTTAAATCTTTAATCCATCTGGAGTTAATTTTTGTATAAGGTGTAAGGAAGGGATCCAGCTTCAGCTTCCTGCCTATGGCTAGCCAGTTTTCCCAACACCATTTACTAAACAGGGAATCCTTTCTCCATTGCTTATTTTTGTCAGGTTTGTCAAAGATCAGATGGTTGTAGATGTGTGATGTTGCTTCTGAGGCCTCTGTTCTGTTCTGTTGGTCTATATCTCTGTTTTGGTACCAGTACCATGCTGTTTTGATTACTGTAGCCTTGTAGTATAGTTTGAAGTCAGGTAGTGTGATGCCTCCAGCTTTGCCTTTTTTGCTTAGGATTGTCTTGGTTATGCCAGCTCTCTTTCGGTTCCATATGAAGTTTAAAGTGGTTTTTTCCAGTTCTGTGAAGAAGGTCAATGGTAGCTTGATGGGGATAGCCTTGAATTTATAAATTACTTTGGGCAGTATGGCCATTTTCACAATATTGATTCTTCCTAACCATGAGCGTGGAATGCTTTTCCATCTGTTTGTGTCCTCTCTTATTTCCTTGAGCAGTGGTTTGTAGTTCTCCTTGAAGAGATCTTTTACCTCCTTTGTTAGTTGTATTCCTAGGTATTTTATTCTCTTTGTAGCAATTCTAAATGGGAGTTTGCTCACGATTTGGCTCTCTGTTTGTCTGTTATTGGTGTATATGAATGCTTGTGATTTCTGCACAATGATTTTGTATCCTGAGACTTTGCTGAAGTTGCTTATCAGCTTAAGGAGGTTTTGGGCTGAGATGATGGGGTCTTCTAAATATATGATCATGTCATCTGCAAATAGGGACAATTTGCCTTCTTCTTTTCCTAATTGAATGCCCTTTATTTCTTTTTCTTGCCTAATTGCTCTGGATAGAACTTCCAATACTATATTGAATTAGGAGTGGTGAGAGAGGGCATCCTTGTCTAGTGACAGTTTTTAAAGGGAATGCTTTTAATTTTTGCCCATTCCATATGATATTGGCTGTGGATTTGTTGTGAATAGCTTTTATTGTTTTGAGATATGTTCCATTGATACCTAGTTTATTGAGAGTTTTTAGTATAAAGGGCTATTGAATTTTGTTGAAGGCCTTCTCTGCATCTGTTGAGATAATCATGTGGTTTTTGTCTTTGGTTCTGTTTATATGATGAATTACATTGGTAGATTTGTGTATGTTGAACCAGCCTTGCATCCCCAGGATGAAGCCTACATGATAGTGGTGGATAAGCTTTTTAATGTGCTGTTGGATTTGATTTGCCAGTATTTTATTGAAGATTTTTGCATCAGTGTTCATGATGGATATTGCCCTTTAGTTTTCTTTTTTAGTTGTGTTTCTGCCAGATTTTGGTATCAGGTTGATGTTGGCTTCATAGAAAGAGTTAGGGAGGATTCTCTCTTTTTGTATTGTTTGGAATAGTTTCAACAGGAATGGTACCAGCTCCTCTTTGTATGTCTGGTAGAATTCAGCTGTGAATCCGTCTGGACCTGGCTTTTTTTGGTTGGTAGGCTATTAATTGCTGCCTCGACTTCAGACCTTGTTA